GAAATCCAGAGGCAAAGTCGGCCTTCTTTTTCAAGCAGCTGAATTTGAAATGAGCTGTTGTTAACATCACTTAAAGGAGCTTTAACCCTGAGAGAGAGGGGGAAAAAAAAAGCAGCACCAACAGAAACCAAAAGCCCTGGGAGATCCAAAGCCCTCCTCCAATATATGCAAGTCTGTTTCAGAGCAATCACTTTTAAGCCTCTCAGATCAGTTAAATCACAATGTTCAACAATCTAAGTTATTAGTTTGATAGTTTCTCTTCTGCTTTTGAATACATTCAAAAGAAGACTTTTGTCATTACATTTTTCATCAAGATAACATCATTTCCTTGTTAAAACCTACACTGCCCCATATTAGCTAATCTCTGGTTAGCTTGCTGGCCGAAGAGCAGCACTTTCACCTTTAGACTAAAAAAGCCTAGAGTATACAACTTAGAGACTGTTCACACAAACAATTACTCATGTAATTAAACCCAGAGGAAGGGCAACACCAACCAAGTCTTTTACAGCTGGTCTATAACTACCAGGATGGTACCTAGAATTATCTATTGAGGTACAGTAAGGCCTTACAATTCCCTGAAACAGTCAAGTCATAGAATGCTTTGAAATCCAGAAGTCAAGGTAACAGTATTACTGTTAGCTATATAATAAAAATCAAACCGGTATCCTGGCTGGGAGGCCCTGGCAAAGCTACAACTCACAGCCACGGTTTGTTTTTTACTTGTAAACTGAGGGAGCTGGACTAAGGGTTCCTTCCAGCTCTGAAATTTTAAGATCTTTGATTAACTCAAGATTTCACGGAAAAAAGAGCAAGCAAATGAAAGCAGTTAAGTGAAAACCCAATAAAACAGTAATTTGCAGCTCCATATATATGATGCCCCCAGCTCCTAGGCAAGGAAGACAAGTGAACCCTTCCTAAGGCTTGCTCTGGAGAGTTCAGACATCTGCAGGAACTGCTAAACAGCCATGGTGAGGACACCTTCATATGCCAGCAGACCCAACATAAGTATGCCCTGAAGAAGTTCTAAAGGTCAAGGCTTTATTCTTCAGTAGAATGGCCACACACACCCCCTCTGATTTGGGAATGGGGATGCCCTGCCTGCCACCAAATTCCCACTCCCACTCAGTTCCCCGCAACAGCATACCTACCATCAAAAATGGCAGAACCAAGTATTTAAGTAATGGCATGCAAATCAAGATTTCAGTAGGAAAAGGTTCCTTGCAAGAGAAAGGCAAAAGAGAACAGAGAAAGGTAGAAGAGCATAACTTTGTGTAACTGAAGCCCAAGGAAGAAGAACCCATTCACATCTGTCCTACTGGAAACGAGGTAAAGGCACAGTAGTCACAGTGGTGACAACAGCAATCTGACTGGAGAAGGCTGGTACAGAAGAATTGAGGACAAGGTCCTTCCGTTGAAGCAGAAATAATGCTCTACCCAAGAAAAAAGATCGTGTCTACCAGCCACATGAGGCTGGTCTGCATGCATGTCACCACAGCAGAGGGTGGTGAAAACAAGCAGGTGTCCTGCCGCACTCCCTGGAACTCGCCACCAGTCTAGGACTGTGTTTCCCCCACCCCTCCACCCACATGCACTTAAAAAACTACAGTTGATCCTTGAACAACACAGGTTTGAACTGTTCGGGTCCACTTATATGCAGATTTTTTTCAGTATAGTACTGTAAATATATTTTCTCTTCCTCATGATTTTCTTAACGTCTTTACTGTGTTTAAGAATACCATATACACTACACATAACATACAAAATATGCATTAATCGACTGTTTAACTTAATAATAAGGCTTCTGGTCAACAGTAGGCTATTAGTAGTTAAATTTTGGGGGGGGAGTCAAAAGTTATACGTGGATTTTCAATTGCACGGGGGTGAGAGGTCGCGGCCCCCAATCCCTGCATCGTTCAAAGGTCAACTATAGTTACTACAAATGTCAAACATTTTCTGGGATTCTCTCCTCCTCATAGATAACTCAGGCAGCCTGGCAACAAACTGCCCTTAGCCAATTAAAAGATTTCCACTGATATCACCTCTATAAACGATCAGGACACATCATTTATCATGCAAACAGTCCCAAGGCAGGTACATTAGTGGTGGAAACTGGATTGGAGTAAGGAACTAACAATTTTGCTTCTGCTCTTCTCTATTTCAAGGTTAAAGAAACAAGCTTCTCATTCAATGCCCACATAGGGGACGGAGTATTCGGGTGGGGGCAACATCATATTGGACTTATCTAGCCAAACTCCACAGTTTCTTTTTGTCAAACTCCACAGTTTGCCTCTCCACCCACTCTAGCTTTGGCCACACAGAGGCAGGGTAAACGGGAAACAATGACTCTGGTTAGAAATTGCAAATAAAATGTAAAATTGTATTCTAACCCTCCCAATACATAAACAGCAAAAAAGTCGAGGAGTGTTTCACTGCATCATGCTCTGTCAGGTGAAATAAAGACCTGGTACTGTAGGTTTAAAGCATTCCAGGCACATTTGTAACAAGAAACAGGATAGTGTGATAGCCCGTAATAGCAAGAAAGCCATAGGTTTCTTCAAGCTGTTAGAACGTACTGACTTCAGATGCCACCAGGCACTTTTCAGAGAAAACTGTATTCTGGAAGCTGCCTGTGCTGTTTAAAAGGCTAGAGGTGGGGCGCCTGGGTGGCTCAGTCGTTAAGCATCTGCCTTCGGCTCAGGTCGTGATCCCAGGGTCCTGGGATCGAGCCGGGCATCAGGCTCCCTGCTCGGCGGGAAGCCTGCTTCTCCCTCTCCCACTCCCCCTGCTTGTGTTCCCTCTCAGGCTGTGTCTCTCTCTGTCAAATAAATAAATAAAATCTTTAAAAATATATAAAATAAAAGGCTAGAGGTATGATGAACAGCTAACTGGAGGGGCACCCAAGGAGGTAAATGCATTGCCAATGATGCAAAACAAAGCAGAGTCCTCATCCTGTCAGGTCATAAGCTGAGATGCACAAACCTTGGAATCTTTGTCAAGTGAGGCTTGTGCGTCTGTGTGTGTGGATAGGAATGTACCTCAGTCATCTGCCACCAAGCTGACATGCCACATATGGGTATCTGTGGCAACTTATTTAACCAACTGTACTCTACTAGATTGACTGCGTCCCTTAAGGTTCTCCTGTGTCTGGGTTAGAAAATAAAAGCAAGTGTTTCCCGGGCTTCCTGACTGGGATTTGAAACAGAAGTCATAAAAAGCCCATAAATAAGCCTATTCCCTAAGTCCCTGGTGGAAATTCCTAAAAGACCAAAGAAACCTAGACACCGTTTTATTTTTTTTAAATAAGGATCCAGCATATTTCAAAAGACCCAAGAGGTCAGCTTAATCTTGTTAACTGAAATCGCTGAAATCCAGATGAAAATTCTGGCCATGAAACACGAATTTCTTTTCAAGTAATAATTGCCTATTAACAACACTGAATTTTACTACCACGGCACAAATAAGCTTCATTTTTCTGGTATAACAAAACACCTAAAACTTGTCAGAGTCTTGCAAAGTCTAAGCCACTTGGCGTCACGCGCTGCTAGATTTGCTTCCACCATCACCAACCACCCCCCTGAATTCGATCCTACCGTCTCACAATTTGGGGTACTAATCCCACACAACAGAGACACAACGTGTGAATGGCTCTGCAGAGTCCATTCCTGTTCCTGGAAAAAGAACCAGAAGCACACATCTGCCTGACCATGAGTCAGGAATATCACTTTTGTGGTGGAGCCCATTTCTGCTGTGACCAATCCACAACGAACACACTCACAACACAGGCGACCACCACAGAGGTAGGTATTCCAGAGCAAGCCTTCCCAACCTCTGGTCCACTTAAGCAAGGTCATTAACGGTCTCCTCTGTGAAAGCAATTTTTTTAGACTCTTTACGATGACATTAAGTCTTCAGGGCAAAACCACAGAAACATTGCCACACCACGTAAAAGTCACCTGAGTTTCAGTTTGGGTAATTCAGTTATAACCAAACTAAAAAGAAAATAAACTTTCAGGGGCAATTGACAGGAACCACAGCGATGCGATGAACTTGGCCCATCTGGTGATGATGATCTTGAGCAGGGCGCGCTCCAGAACTATAGGAGCCGGTTACATACTATGTCCCACTCCACTTATGTAACTAGAAGATCTCCGGCGAAGGGGGGCGGGGAGGATGGGAGGGCGCTCACATTCTGAGGCCACGGAACCCCCCAAAGACCCTGGAGGAGCACTCCCACCGAAGAGCCTCTGGCGCTCCCGGACACACAGTCCCCTACCTAAGGTTCATGATGGGAACTATAACCGCCTCTTTATGAGTTGTGGGACCAGGAACACAATGTCTAGTCCCTTTTGTGGGTGGACAATAATTCCCACCTACTTGTTCCTGCTAGAGGGGAAAAGAGATGGTGGACCGACTCGCTCGCAGTGGGGGCAGAAAGTCATGGAATGGGCGAGAAGGAGGGGGAGGCAAAGCCTGGAGATGGGGGTGAGAGCACAGGAGCCCTTGTGGCGCACTCTCCCGACGGGAGGCGGACTGCGCACGCGCGCCAGTGGGGGGGCCGAGTAACGGCAGAGGGGGCGCGCGAGGGAGGGAGAGGGGAGAGCGCGATCCAGGGAGAGGCCGGGGCGGCGGGCGCGCGACGACGCCGCGGGCCCGAAGCCCCGAGAAGGGCACGACGCGCGCGCAGCCCCGACAGGCAAAACCCCGGCGACAGGGGCGCCCGCGGGGCCGGGGGCCGGGATGCGCGCCGGAGGCGGGAGGGAGGGGGGCGTCAGGCGAAGTCGGCCCTGGGAGACCGCGCCGAGGACGGTCACCGCGAGTGCGGGTGACGGGCCGAGGGGGGAGCCGTCACCGGCGGCGGCGGGAGGGGGAGGGTAGAGAGGAGGGACGCCATCCGCCAGCCGTGTCGCCCGACCCCGCGGGCCCCTCCCGCGCCACGTCCCGCCCCTACCCTCCGCCCCCCGGCAAGGGTCCCCGCCCGCGGCCGCGGCGGTCCCACTCACAGTCTCTCCTCCTCGCCTCCTCCTCCTCCTCCGCTCGGCGCGGCAGCGGCGGCGGCGGCCATTTTCCGGACGGCTTTTACCACAGCCCTCTCTCTGAGAGGAGGGAGCGCGCGCGCCGCCGACGCCGGGACCCCGCACGGCCGACGTCGCGCCCCGCCCTCCCGGCCGGCTTGCGCGCTGCTGCACCTGCGCGCCCGCGCCCCGCCCCCGGCACCGCCGCGAGCCCTCCTGCCATTGGGTGCGACGACCAGGGTGGGGCGGGGTCTCGGTGACGATGCTACCAATTGGCTGGAGTTTGTGTCCATTCCGGCTAGGGAAAAGGGGGTGGAAACTCTGTCCAGCTCCCGATTGGTTGCCTTCGACCGTCATTTGGGGAAAAGAGGCGGCTAGGGCGCGGAGGGGCTGGTTTAGTGGGAGGAATTTGAATATTAAGGATTAATGGGCCCTTGCGGATGCTGGGGCAAGTGAAGGCCTAGGCTCCGCACGCCTTTTTTGCGTGGCCTTCCTGGGCCATTGACCCGCTGTACACAAACGCACAAACTACGCTGCTGTAAGAGTTTCACCGAACCTGTATTTTCTCAGTATCACCACCTTCGCTAGAAGCAGCAAAGTTGCCTAACCTGGAGCCTGACGTTGTTCCAGACAACGGACCTTCGTTTCAGGGGCCTACCCATTGCATTCTTTCATCTGAGCCTGCCGTGTGCCGTATGCTACACTCTCATGGGGTCAGGGAATAAATAACAAATCACAGCCCTGGCCTTCCTGAAACTCTGGCGGGAGAAGACGGTGCATGCCCAGGCTGCAAGGAGATCTGTCATTGTTGTATCAGATGGTTTGGTGGAGGTGTGGAGAAGGGGCAATGAGAGCACAAAGGAAGCAGCGCTTAGCCCTGCCAGCTCTAACACCTGCTAGAAAAGGTGATTTGGGAGCTAAGATCCAGCAATTCTGTGTCAGAAAAATAAGAGTGTGGGAAAAGTTTTATCCAATGGGGTGTGCAGGACAGGACTATTTCTCAAGGCAAAACCTTTATCTGATTCCACCTATCATCCAATTCATCCAGTGCTCCTTGTACTGGTTCTGTGCTTTACAGGGAACCTTCTAGTTCTGATTTGCCACCTCCCCCCTTCATTTATTAAATACCTGTTATGTGCCAGGCACTGTTCCAGGTTCTGGGTTCACAGTACTGAACAAAACAGTACGCTAACATCCTTGTGGCAGAGATTCATAGTAAGCATACAGATAAGTATATAATATAATGTCACATAGTGATAAGGGCTTTGATACAGATAAAGCAAGGGTGAAGGGGCTGCTATTTAGATATCTATAGGCTTTTGCCCTCATTTTATTCCCCCATATGGACATCTGGGGAGAGAACATTCCAGGCAAGTTCAAAGGCTCTGAGGTGATACTATGCCTGGCATGTTGGGAAGAAAGCTTCCGTCGCTAGAGAATAGTAGGGTGTGCGGTTGGAGAGGCAGCTAGAGCCACCATGGGAACTGGGAGCTTCTGGGATGAGAAGTCCTCGGAGGATTTTGAACTGAGAGTTAACATCATCAGATCCATGTTGTAGGTGCAGTGTGGAGGACTGCCCGTGGAGGAACAAAACTAGGAACAAAAGCCCAATCAGGAGACCCTGACAACAGTCTAAGAGAGGTGACAGTGGCATTAACTAGGGTGGTAGCAGTGGAGGTTCTGAGATGTTGTGACACTCAATCTGTATTTTCAAAAATCGAGCAGAAAAGATTGGATGTATAGAGAAAGAGGAGAAACAAAGATGATTCCTGAGTTTTTCACTGAGCAACTGAATGAATCGGTGCCTTTCACTATAATGGGAAAAACTGAAGGAAAAGCACATTTTTAGAGGTACATATCAAGAGTTCTGTTTCGACCATGTTAAGCTTGGGGTGCCTATTAGACGTGCAAGTGGAGGTGTTGAGTAGGCGTTTGGGTTAACAAGTCAACAAGTTGAGCATCCAACTCAAGAAGCTATAAAAGAGGGGCGCCTGGGTGGCTCAGTCGGTTAAACGTCTGACTTCAGCTCAGGTCATGATTTCAGGGTCCTGGGATAGAGCCCCACGTCAGGCTCCCTGCTCAGCAGGGAGTCTGCTTGTCCCTCTGCTCCTCCCCCTGCTCGTGCTTGCTTGCGCGCACTCTCTTGCTCTCTCTCCCTCAAATAAATAAATAAAATCTAAAAAAAAAAAAAAAGCTATAAAAGAAACAGCAGAGTAAACCTGGAGAAAATAGAAGAAAAATAAGGATGAGTAGAAAATGATGAAACAGAAACAAATGATAGGATTGGAACATCAAAAGCTGATTCTTTGAAAAGCTAAAAAACAAAAGCCAGCCCTTTAACAACCTAAATATAAAGAGAGGAAAGACAAATTATATTAGAAATGAAAAAGAGATGCAACCATGGATACAATAGATTATACAATAGTAGATAAAACATAAATTTTTTAAAATTTAAATTTAAAAATATTAAAAATAATATTTTTACATTATAAACAACTGTATGTCAGAAAATTGGAAAACATAAACAAAATGAACAAATTCGTAGAAAAGCACAGCTTACCAAAACTGATCCTAGAAACATAAAAGCTGGATAGACCCTCTATGACCGCAAAGAAATTGACTATGTATTTTTTAAAATATTTTATTTACTTATTTGTCAGAGAGAGAGAACAGGCGCATGAGCAGGGGGAGCGGCAGGCAGAGGGAGAAGCAGGCTCCCCGCTGAGCAAGGAGCCCAATGAGGGACTTGATCCCAGGACCCTGGGATCATGACCTGAGCTGAAGGCAGACGCTTAACCGGCTGAGCCACCTAGGGCTCCCAATTGACTATGTATTTTAAAAATCTACCACCTGCCAAAAAAAAAGAAAAAGAAAAAGGCTCAGAGAGCTTTACAGATGAATTATACCAAATTATTAATGAATGGGTAATTCCAACCATACACAGAAAAAAACCTCTCCAAACTTATTTTCTGAGCATAACAGAACTACTATAATGAGCCAATGAAAGTGTGCCATAGGATAAGTAAATAGATGTAAAAATTCTAGACAAATAAACTGAATCTAGCAGATTATAATTATATATCATAACCAAGTTGAAATTTTTACTAAGAATGCAAGGATGGTTTAAAATTAGAAAATCAAGGGGGCGCCTGGGTGGCTCAGTCGTTAAGCGTCTAGCCTCGGCTCAGGTCATGATCCCAGGGTCCTGGGATGGAGCCCCACATCAGGCTCCCTGCTCTGCAGGAAGCCTGCTTCTCCCTCTCCCACTCCCCCTGCTTGTGTTCCCTCTCTCACTGTGTCTCTCTCTGTCAAATAAATATATAAAATCTTTAAAAAAAATTAGAAAATCAGGAGTGCCTGGGTGGCTCAGTCAGTTAAGCATCTGCCTTCGGCTCAGGTCATGATCCCAGGGTCCTGGGATCGAGCCCTATGTCGGGCTCCCTGCTCGGTGGAGAGCCTGCTTCTCCCTTTCCCTCTGCTGCTGCTCTGCCCACTTGTGTTCTCTCTCTCTCTGTCAAATAAATAAATAAAATCTTTAAAAATAAACAAATAAAATTAGAAAATCAACCTTAACAGATTTAAGGGGAACAAATTATATGATTATTACAATAGATGCAGGAAAAGTGTTTAATAAAATACAACACCTACTTATGAGAAAAACAAACAACTTAGAGAGCTATGAATAGAAGGGAGCCTCCTCAATCTGATCAAAGGTATCTATTACAAAACTTAGAGCAAACATCATATTTAATGATGTTAAGTGGGAACAAAGTAAGAAACAGAACAAGATCTATGGTGCAACATCATTCATGTAAAATAAAACACATGTATCCTCCTCTGATTCTCTTTTAAACCTCATCCTTGGAGTTTCATCATGAGAAGAACCCATTAGACCCAGTAGAGAAAGACCAAGTCCCTGGCTTTTAGGATGCAGACATATAGATATAGCCAGTAATAAAAAGCTGGAAAATGTAATAATAAAAAAAAAGATTCAACTCACTCTGGCTACAAAAAATATAAAATGGCTGGGAATAAACTTAAGAAATGCCAAAAACCTATATTTAAAACCTATAAAACTTGACTGAAAAACATAAAAGAAGACCTAAAAGGAAAGAAAGGAAGAAAGGAAGAAAAAGAAAGAAAGAAAAATAAATTACCACATTCCTGGAAGGAAAGAGTTACATAATAAAAATGTCAATTCTTCATAAATTAATCTGGAAATTTTTTCCCCCAAGTCAAAATTAAGGATTTTTTGTGGACTGTAACAAGTTAATTCTAGATTGGGAAGAGTAAGTGTACAAGATTAGAAGTCAAGACATTTTTTTTTTAGGGAGCCTGGGTGGCTCAGTTGGTTAAGCAACTGCTTTCGGCCCAGGTCATGATCCTGGAGTCCCGCGTCGGGCTCCCTGCTCGGCGGGGAATCTGCTTCTCCCTCTGACCCTCTTCCCTCTCGTGCTCTCTATCTCTCATTCTCTTTCTCTCAAATAAATAAATAAAATCTTAAAAAAAAAGATTTAAAAAAAAAGACTTTTTTTTTTTAAGATTTTATTTATTTGACAGAGAGAGAGACACGGGGAGAGAGGGAACACAAGCAGAGGGAGTGGGAGAGGGGGAAGCAGGCTTCCCTCTGAGCAAGGAGCCTGTTGCGGGGCTCCATGCCAGGACCCTAGGATCATGACCTGAGCCGAAGGCAGACGCTTAACGACTGAGCCACCCAGGCGCCCCTAGAAGTCAAGACATTTTTTAAAGAGAAAACCAATGAGGGGGACCTTGCTAAATTCCTTAGTTTGACTAAACAGGACTTAATACAATTTCACTTTTGCCATTGAAAAGTAGAAAAATATACTAGAGTTTAAAGTATTCACTAGTAGAGTTAAAAATGTGTCATTTAGGGGCTCCTGGGTGGCTCAGTCGGTTAAGTGTCTGCCTTGGGCTCAGGTCATGATCCCAGGGTCCTGGGATCGAGCCCTACATCAGGCTCCCTGCTCAGCGGGAAGCCTGCTTCTCCCTCTCCCACTCCCCCTGCTTGTGTTCCTTCTCTCGCTTTTTCTCTCTCTGTCAAATAAATAAATGAAATCTTTTTTAAAAGATCTGTCATTTTTAAAAAATGGGGTATAA